CAGCTGTGTCACGCAGCGGCAGAAAATCGGCGAAACACGTGTCTGGGCTTTTAGCAAGTATCTATGTCGGGAGTACGGTATAATACCTTTAATATATATATATATATATATATATATATATATTTCATGCGTAAGTATTGAAAGGTAGGCATACCGATCTATTGGCTTCATGAAGCGAACGAGCTCCGTATGGGTGGCAAGGATCACGAACAGGCAACCAATTACCAGGCCGAAGTCGGCCAAGTCATAATAGCAGCGAGGAGGGACGACAGAGAATGCGGGTAGATTGATACAGTACTTTTTCGGGATTATTGTGCCTTTATTCAGCCAATCATAGCCCTGACCAACAGTTGGGACCAGAAACACAAATATGTGCACAGACGCACCTGGCGCAGGTGATCCACCACTAGGGTCTACCAGATGGGTCATAAGCACTTCATCGAACCGAAGTTCATCAGCGTCTTACCGACTGTCATTCTCTGTCGCCGCAGACCGGTATTATATATATATATAATACATACGCAGCTCGCTAAGAGTGCAACAGGCCAGACGCAGACAGCTGTTTCACGGTCGTTACCGATCATCAGTACGTCATAGGCCTTATATACCTCATATATATATATAATGGTGGGGGGCGCTCACCGATCATTCTTACGGAACTCACTCGTTCCGTTGTGTCTTTCGGGCTCTCTCTATCTCAAGCCCAACCAGCAGCCGCACAGCGGCGCATGCTATGTGCAGAATGTTTTTACCGACAAAGATAAGAATCGAAACCGACCGAGCAACGGGCTAGTGGCCCAGTGGTTAGAGGTCTGGACTTCTAACTAACAGGTCGCGTGTTCGAGCCTCGGGTGTTCTACACTTCGAGGTCGGGTAGGACTGGCTGACGACGGCTAAAAAGCCAGAAATGGTCATTCCAATCTCCCTTATCTTTGTCGGTAGTAAAATTCTGCATATATATATATATATGAAGCAAAAGAAGAGTCGAGCACCGGAACAATTCGTTTATTATCCTGAGCTTTCAGACTCGTACAGGAGTCCATCGTCAGAGGTAGTACCAGAAACAGGACAAGCGGCAGTTATAAGGCACGTAGACCCAATCATCGACCGACGTCGCACGACTGGAGGTGACTACGAAGGGCTCTGTACGCCGGCGCCAGATCGATACATCGATTGGCCGAGTTCTCATCCGAGGCCACCGACGATATGGCATTCTCTGCCATAAATCAAGGGTGTTTCAGAAGCGACCGAGCGCATTGCTGCGGAGCTAGGGGTTGGAATCGCCCACCGCCCCAAAGCCACCATGCGCAACAGGGTCATGAAGATCAAAGACCGGTTAAAACCCGAAGAGCAATCTGGAGTAGTGTATCGCATTCCGTGTCAAAATTGTCCTTGTAATTACACAGGACAGACTGGACGCATGCTCGGATCGCGCATACATGAAAATAAGCTGGCTGTGCGGCGAGGCGACGCACTATCACAAGTGGCCGCCCACACCTACGAAATGGGTCACGAGTTTGACTTCGCAGCCACCAAAATAGTTGCCCACGCCGGAAACAAAACAGGCCGAGAATTGATTGAAGCCTGGGCCTCGGATGAGAACTCGGTCAATCGATGTATCGATCTGGCGCCGGCGTACAGAGCCCTTCGTAGTCACCTCCAGTCGTGCGACGTCGGTCGATGATTGGGTCTACGTGCCTTATAACTGCCGCTTGTCCTGTTTCTGGTACTACCTCTGACGATGGACTCCTGTACGAGTCTGAAAGCTCAGGATAATAAACGAATTGTTCCGGTGCTCGACTCTTCTTCTGCTTCAAATATGTATACACCTGGAACTCGAAATTTCGCCTTCATTCATATATACATATATATGGACGAGCACGCAAGAGCGGTAAGAAGAATCTAGGGTAAGGTGACACCATACTAACAGCACAGGTACTAGCCAAAAGCCCATACACGCGTGTTTCGCCGATGTTTTGCCGCTGCATGGCGCAGCTGCGAGGGGTTCGGCTCGTCAGTGGGTCCCCCAGCATTCCCCGTGTGTTTTCTGGTAGATACTCCAATTTAGAAATTGTCACTTTTTAATTTCCTGAGAAATTTTGTGCGAAGTAGGAGTAGATCAGTATATTCAAGGTCTATAGGCACAGACCGAGAATTTAATACATGAATATTTGGGCCAAAGTCCATCAGCCACAGCGGGTAACCGCGTAATATTCATTAACTGCCTACAGGCAGCTAGTAGTATAATCTAGGGTAAGGTGACACCATACTAACAGCACAGGTACTAGCCAAAAGAAGAAGAATGGATCAGCTCTCACTGGTGGCAGACCATTGCGCAGCTTTTGGCCACGCCTTCGCCTTCCAAGACGCCGAAGTCTTGGGCCAAGGGAGCGATCAAACGTTCAGGGAGACACTCGAAGCCTGGCACACCACAACTACCTCAATCAACCGATGCGTAACTCTGCCGGCTGCCTACCAAGCCCTACGGGTGAAGTTCACTAGGCAGGGCTACCGACGAGTCGTCAGGCCAGAGACGGCAGTAATCAAACCCGGACCAAGCGGGAACGAGGACGGGCATAGACAGGCATCGGGAACGGACGAAACCGGAGTACAACCGGCGGCGAACGCAAACCCAGGAGACCGCCTTCTGTGTCCGAACGCAGACAGACGCCAGCACTCGATGAGAACGCCCGACAGTGACAAAACCCCCCAGCCCGACGTCAACCCTGGCATGACAACCACCGTCAACACGGCTACGGGCAGGTGTGAACGGGACAGCGAGACGAGATCCCACGACAGCAACAGGACCCCGCGGCCCGACGTCAACAGTGGCGTGACAACCACCGTCCACGCGGATACGGGCAGGTGCGAACGGGGCAGGAAGACGAGATGCGTCGAGGGCGGACAACGGACAATACAAACAAGAGCAATGGCCGCGGTCACCCCGGCGCCGCCCCCCTCCCCACACCCGACAAAGGATGAGGAGGAACCGATGCCGCCATGACAACCATCGCCATACCATGTGATGCAGCGCGCTGGAAGTCAGTGACACGCCAGCACGAAAGAAAAACCCTTAAATACTGTGACGTGCAGTACGCAACCCACCTCCGATGATGGAAGCTTGTTTGCTTTCGAAACGTCAGGCAAATAAATCCATGGTTCCTGTGATCGCCTTATCTTCTCATATATATGTGTATATATGAGATGGCACCGACAAAGACAAGGGAGACCGGAATGGCCATTTCTGGCTTATTAGCCGTCATCAGCTTGTCATACCCAACCCCAAGTGTGGATCACTTGAGATTCGAACCTCGGATCTTTGGTCATGGGGTTTGACGCTCTACCATTGAGCCACGGGCCCGTTGTCTTGTCGGTTGTGATCGGTGTCATCTCATCTATGTCTACTACTAGTCGCTGTGCGACTGCCTGCGACTATACTCCGTGCAAAATGGCTGCATAAGTAGCATGTATTTTTCTCATTGATTTCCGATGCACTTGAAAATTCAATTATATTTCATAGAAAGCATGCATGACAATATTTGATCTTTTGCTTATTCGCTGGAAAGTTGCGTCTTCTTCCAATGTAATGCTAGAATAAAGGGCATAATTCAGTTTTAAAAACTTTTCCAATCCCTAAATAGTTTAGAATAAAACCTGCCGTTACACTTCCATTCAGGATTTCCAAACTACAAGCCGTATTTTTCCCGCGTATGGGAAACTATACATATCTCTACGGCGTTAAGAGTAGACTATATGGTGACTAATATAATTTGACTGTGGATGTGAGAGGTATTGCTGACTTTGCAAGCAACATTAGTAAATGTAGAGACACGACGTCTTATAAACGGCCATTTCACGATATTAAAAAATTTCACAATTGAAAACGTTTTTGGAACCGAGTTATGCCCCTCCTTCGAGTATAAATTTGGAAAAAGACGTAATTTTCTACCCAATAAGTAAAATAATGAACATTTTTATGCATGTTTTCCATGAAATATAATTGGGCATTTAGGGGTGTGGAAAATCAATGAGAACAATTTCATGTCACTTAAGCAGTCGTTTTTTTTACAAAGTGTAGTTTTTGCCTGCAGCCGGAAGGAAGTCCTGTCGAAAGTCGATTTCCTGAGGTAACTGAATTATTATAAAATTATGCTGCTTGGTGATTAGTTTTACAACTCTACTTAATTGATTTTTTCGAAACGATAGAGCATGTTCTGTATTTCGGTTGACATTTCATGAGTTAGCCCACCTACTGTACGTACGTGTGTGAGAGAAAGAAGAGGAAGTGTGGTGGCGCAGGTTACCGGTACTGCGTCCACTTTCATAGGCACGAGATGGAGATTGTTCACTGGCGATGGTCTAACTGCCATTGAGAGAGCAATAAGGGAAGCTCGGCAATTCAGGTGCCCAAGTTATGATTACTTGTCGAGAGAGTGACGAGAGAGGCAGACAGAGAGAGGCAGAGGTACCCACGCAGTCGACCCTCACTTTGAGATGCCCACGACTCGACTGGCCTTCGGGCCACCAGTCAAACCCACGGTAGACGCGGATAGGCTATTCCTCGTTGCAGCAAAACGACAGCCCGACTACAGGCGCCTCATTCGCAGTCTCAGTAGGAGCCCGTTATTTAATGCGAATAAAACCGATTAGTGCTTTAAACGAGGATGTGTACGTAAACCTGGTCGTCCTGCAAACAGTCAGTGGTCGTCAAAAGTAGACGCCAGGTCATAACCGCTCCAAATCGACGAAAGTTCGGTCGTCTCAAGCGGCAATGCCCACCGTCTGCTGCTCTGCATGGTGAGTGCAGCATCGGTGACGTGCGCAGGAATTAGTTTATAGGGAGGCAGACTTGTACAGCACCTACCTCGCTTCCTCCTTCCTCACCGGCCTTGTTTCGGTGCCAAGACTATACCAGAGCGACCGGAGGCAAACAAAACGAAAGGCAGTGAGTGACAACAAACGTAACGTTTCCGTCCCACTAACTGTTTAGACTACAGTCAGTAAGTAGATGAAAGAAACCTTGATCGTCGTTTCCGACGAGATGCACCGCGTGCTCCACGGTAGAGTGGGAGCAGGGACGGTTACTTGCATATGAGCTGGTCGGAACTGATTATAAACTTGTGCCGCACCTACCACATTATCTTCTCCTCGTCCTCAACCTAGGCCCGGTGCCAAGACATACTCAGGAAAACCGGAGGTGGAAATGGCGCAGTTGGCTGGCGCGATCAGAACCGCCTCTAGGCATGCTGTCACACCCGACTCGGATCCAACTAGGTGGGAGTGCCAGAGGTCGCGTTAAGATGAGCTACTGCGGCTTCACTCTCAGTCCGCCAACCGGCCACCCCGCACAAATACACACTGGACTGACTGCGAGGTCTTAATTCCATGACGCATACACACACCCGACAATTGCATCGTCGGTTTCGACTTTGTCCACCGTGTTCTACACACCAGGGTGTAAGCAGGGATGATGCCTTACTCGGGACTTAGTTTGGTAAGATCGCAGTTGGTAGCCAGACATTATACGTTGATATTTTCGACGTACGTACTTGTTATCAGTAGGTGAGTTTACCTTGTCTAGGGAACTTGTCATCAGTATGTGTTCTCTTACTGAGATAGGCAGGTCACCCGTTTCGGTCAGGCTGTTGGGTTTAGTGAGGGTACATACGCCCTCGGCTATGTAGACCACCCTGGCTTCTTTATCTTGCTTAGAATATAGTAGAACAAGGAGGCTATGTAAGCCTCAAATTTATTCAATTGTCCGAAATTAAGTCTAGTTGTAAAAGTCTAGCCAATGGTTTTGTACATCCATCTGCCATTGGTTACCTCGACCTATTTGCAAGAAAAAAGTACCGGTGAGGGTGCAGCTCTGCCGGCAGATACAGGAAAGAGTCATGTTAATGGTCTGACAGCGGAGGAGACTTTGAGACGTGTCAACGCTTGCGAGTGTCTCTCCTGTTCTTCTTCCTCCCCGTCGTCTTCTTCCTTCTCTTCCTCCTTCTCCTCCTCATCCTCGAAGATTTAAACCGATTCCCCGTTCGTTTTAGTGGTGCATTGGGCTTCAACTACCTGGCCCGAGAAGCCACATTCGCGTAGTCAGCAAACGACGGGGTGACGTCAGCCGGCTTGGCAACTTGCCAGGGGCGTAGAACTGGCGCCTTGGGTGGGATCTATATGGCCGGGGTATACGTGTTGTCTGCCGTCGCCACCGAGTGCACTTTTATGGTTTTCAAATCCCTATGCAGAGAACGCTTTAGAAAAATGTGAGGCTGTGTGATCTGACCTGCTGCCTTGATAGTAAACAATTGAGCACATAGTTTCAGAGGTAGAGAATTAACTTCAAAAAACAATAGTACGTGTCCCGCCCTGTCTCAACTTCCCTTTAGAAGTCGGTAATACCATTCTGCCTATATCATGCGCCTCACTGCGGCTGCTGGTTGGGCGTTAGAGAGCCCGTAAAGTACAACGCGACGAGTGAGTTCCGTAAAAAACGATCGGTAAGTGCCCCTCTACCATTGCATTTTCTCGATCGAAACCGACAGAACAAGTGCCTGGTTCACTGGTTAGAGACGTTGGACTTCTAACTAACAGGTCGCGGGATCGAGCCTTAGGTGTTCTACACTTCGGGGTTGGATACGACTGGCTGATACCGGTTAACAAGCCAGAAATGGCCATTCCAGTCTCCCTTGTCTTTGTCGGTAATAGCATTCTGCCTTCCCTGAAGCATTAGCCACTGTCTCTGTAAAGCCCAGCAATCATAATGGCAAATGCGATCGAAATAGGTTCAGCTTGTGTAAAAATTATGATTCCATTTGATCGTAGAAGAAAATGCATACGTTGCTGCGATCTGAAAGGTAATGTCTGTAGGGGGAGGCATTTACGTGACTAGTTGAAACAGAATTGCAATGCGCTCTGATTGGCAAATTTGAGAAATCCGGAGTGATAAACTGAGGAAAAAGAGGAAGGCCTTAGCAGGTTCAATTTATTGAACTGCTGACGTTTCGATGAGCTTGGTCGAATCACCATTGTCGAAGCGTTGCTTGCACAGAACTAAACAGAGTTTCTACTAGCCTGCCGCCCTGAGCTGATCGATACTTTTCTTCTTTCGCTTGGTAACTGCGTGCACTAGGAGTCATCACCTCGATGAAGGGGTGATTGAGCTCCCCCAGGGGTTGCTCGGTCTGACAGCTCTTTTCCTCCCCATTGGCTGAGGTCGTCATGGGTCGTGTCTGGGCTGGTTTCTTAAGTTCTGTGCAGTTATCTGATCCTGGCTTTTGTGTGCAAAATGGCGCAGGACATTGTAAGCGGCGGGAGGGTCAGCATGCCTGTGTGATGGAGTTGGCGTCTGAAAGCCACGCCTGAAGCGCTAGTCGTCCAGTCCATGAAATGCCCCAGACTAAGATGGTCGCATCCCAAAGGCCCAAAACATGTCCAGTTTCTCCGAAGTTTATTGACCTGGCATTTCGGATTCCCACTCGAACCCATCGTCAGAAGCAGTTGTGGATACGGGTAATTGAGGCCCAAAGAGTGTGTTATTACGGTACGTAGCTGCCGTGGTACACATACTGTTAACTATAGTACTCATGTGATCCCAGGGCAACTATGTACTGTAAATACGACACTCATTGTGCCTCCACTACTCTTATCTGCGGTTGTCTCTGATGATGAGTTTGAGCAAGAGTCCGAAACGTCGGACAATATACTTTTTGTTCCAGTTATCGCATCTTCCCCTGCTGAACTGCTTCCTGGCACTCACCTATTCGTTTTTATTAGTTCCTCCTGTGTGAGTTGCAGGCCTAGAGTTCGAGTTTAGCCTCCGAGTTGCCAGTTTTTGTTCGCGTACGCGGGTGTGCGATTTCCGTCCAGTTTACTCAACGTACTTGCGGTCCCCATCAGCGCAACTGATTGAAGCCGAACCTCCGTCGTCCTAGGTAATGCCCACTACCAAAATATATGCATGACGTTCAATGGCAATTAGGGATCCTCGGTGGCCTGTAGTGGCGC